TGAGTATGCACTGGGATGGGGTGACGTAATATAGTGGAATTTTTTATATTCTCATGAATTATTTTACGAAATCTCCCTTTACCGCATTCGAAATTTGTATACTTAGCATAGTCTAGAAGTAGTTCCTTGAGAGTTGTATAAGGAAGAGAAATGGGCTTTTCCGGTGAAGTCAAAATTTTTAATAAGCCATATGCTTCTTTTCCAATGAATGTGAGAAAATGTGCCACAATATTAATATCCTCATCATCTTTCTTGGTCATGCTCCAGATTTCAAACCTTTCCAAATAATCTTCAAAAGCTACAGAAGTTGAATGAATATCTAACTGTTCCATCGCAGGCCCCGTCGCGACACCAATATGATAATTAGAAGTAATTGAATTATAGTATGAACTAAGAATCCCTGGGATAACGCAATTGAATCAAGAAGTACTACACAAGCACTAACGAATGTACTGTATTTAGAATTCGAAATCAAACATTCAACAAGTACAAAGGAGTCCTTAGTTCATTCAAACACCACAAGTCTTCAATTCTCCATGCACATAACCAATCGTTTTACAGTTCCTTTCGTAATACAATTTGTACTAAATATTCAGTTACAGAAAACTTGACTCGATTGATTAGCTAGCTTTTAATAAATGTGTACTAATCAGTTAAAAAGTGAGGCCTTTTTCATATCCCATGTTGTGAAATACGTAATAATTAAAGTACAGAATACATTACAAACGGGCTTGATTTTTCTAGTTAAATATATGGTTAAAATCAATCATCCAGTCAAAGGTGATCGAACATGTCTCGAGTGATTAAAGAAAAGGTTGACATTTAAAGACGGACGCTAATCCCTGTGTGCGGGAATGATAGGTTACATTGTTCGGTTGCCTTTGTGCGCATTTGTCACTTCACTACTCAGTGTGGAACAAAGTAAACCAGCAACGACAGCTAGACACCAGATGATAAGTCACAGCCAAGCAATGTGACTGATTGGCCTTACAATATTACAGTGCTGTAATATCAAAAAAATAAGAAATTATTAACCTATGAATCGATCTAATAACAACAACTTTAGTAAATAAGAGTATGCTTAGTGACTATCATATATTGTAACGACCCATAACATGTCGACTTGATGTCTTTAGTGAATTATGTGAGTAGCTTTAGTACTTGCAAGTGAAACGCGAAATCTAAGATGTAAATTTTTCGGTACAAGTCAAAAATATAAGAAAATAAACAGCTTTATTTACCGGGTATATCTGCTTTCGTATATATAAACTGATAAAAAGAAACAGAAAAGATGGAAGCAGATGCACTGTCTGATATTGACTTATTGAACCAGCAGGTTATTTGATATCACGAAGTTAACGGTACTTTTCTACTCTACAGTGATCAATGTCGTACATGTCTAGTATATGGTATTGAACGGATTCCATAAATGCATTTTTTAAATACTGAATATTTCGTGTGAATATCTCAGAATTACAATTCATTCGCATTTTAAATAGCCCAGTGATAACATCTCTGACTGTGAGGCTAGGTGATGAAGATTGGAGTACTAATAGTAATCTCGGTTTTTATGGAAAAAAAAGATAAAACTTGTCAATGAGTAATAACTAGCACTCAACGGAATATGACAAAAGTAATTTTATAACTTGATATATGTACTATTTGTATTAAGCAATCAGTGTTTAATAAATTGTTGTTCACTTCGCTCATACATTTATTACAATCCATTCACTTTTTCCTTGTCTTTACATACACTCTAGTCATGACAACTAGAGAACAGTTTAAATATATTTATGAATTTCTCTTTCATTAATTTCAAACACTAATTATTTTAATAAACTTTAAAACAATAAACTATAAATATCAGATGGGTCCTGTGGACATTATAGAAATTTCAAAGGTTAAGATCATGAGTCAGTTGAAGCTAGACCACCATGGAAAACCTGGAAGCACTGCCAAACGGCCGTCTCGTCTTGTTGTGGAACTCCTCAGCGTTGCACATCCACGATCTCGTCCCCTGCGAGGTTCGAACACAAGACCTATCAGTCTCGCACGCGAACACTTAACCACTAGACCACTGAGGCGGCCGGCATCCAACGGTGTTAATGTCTAACTTTAACTAATCCACGAAATTGAGCGACACATCCACCATTGTCTTTAGTGAGTTACTATCTCACAACAGACCTGGTTGAACTCCTTTGGTCACTACTTCGCACTAGAACTCCAATATTTACCTCTTGAAGCCAGTCATTAGTGAGCATATGTTGAATAATATCAGATGGGTTTTGTGGATATTATAGTAACTTCAATGGTTAAGATCATGAATCAGTTGAAGCGAGACCACCATGGTCTAGTGGTTAAGTGATCGCGCGTGAAACCAATAGGTCCTGAGTTCGAATCTCGCAGGGGGCGAGGTCGTGGATGCACACTGCTCAGGAGTCCCACAATAAGACGAAACAGCCGTCCAGTGCTTCGATGTTTTCCATGGTGGTCTAGCTTCAGCTGACCCATGATCTTAACCATTGAAATAAACTATTATTTTTGTAGTTTATTATTTTACACTTCTCTTTCTATTACACATATTCCCTTCCTTTTATCAACTCATTATTCCTTTTTTAATATAGTTATATTCTACGAAAAAAACATTTCAAAGAACATCATCATTTAGAATATTTTATGAATAGTCATTTTAGTTCACATGTTGAATATTTTGAATAAACGTTTTTTTATTGATAAATTTATTATCTTTAAAATTATTATTTAAAGAAAAGGTTACAACAACACCACTTAGAAACAAGTAAAAACGAAAAAGAAACAACATAGGAATAAGATATTTCTTCTTCAAAATCACCTGTCAATAATTCGCTCTTATTTAATGGAATACTGTTTTTTTACTTTATTTTAATGAGTAAAAAACAAAATGAAAAAATAATAGTAATAACAATAATGTTAAATATTACTATTATTATTATTATTGGTAGGCATCTATTATGCATTAGTCATTAGGGAAAAGAAAGTAATATGAGTGTTTCATGATAAATATCTTCATAAACTAAAGACAAATTGAAAATTTCACCATTTGTCTAATAACTTAGTAGAAATTTATTTATTTTTAGTTAATTTCATTTGTTTGTTTTTTACTTGAATGAAAAATTCTAGTCGAATTTATAAGTGAATTAAGAAAAAAAATAGACTAATATTGTCTCATATAATAGAATTACAATAAAACCATACAAATTCATACAGATGTATACATATACAAACATATGAAGACAAATAACATAATCTCAAGTATTTAAAATGGTTTCATTTCATTTCATTTTCTAAGTACTGACTATATTATGTTCTTAATTTTCAGTAAAGTACTAATTATAGTTAACATCGTAGACTGGTATTAGTTAGACAATTATTGAAAGCAGGAAGCTGTGGACAATGTTTCGTTCTAATATAGGACTACTCAGAAGTATGTGTCCGCAACCTCATTAGAGATTAAATCCAAGATATTCAGTGTCGCGGTAAACGCTTAACTCCTAAACCACTGAGCGGATAACCAATGAGTTATATGTCCAACTCCAGTCAACTCACGATATTGCGCAACTATCTTCCAATGTCATTTGTGGGTCCTACGCTAGGACAAAACAGCTATCCCTCACTTTCTGATTTAAATGATTGTCTGAGATCAGTTTATGATGTCAACAATCTGCCTAAAATGCGAACAACTGGCAAAATCAAGTAGAAAAACTAGGGAAACAACCCGAATCATTCTTCACTGAAAAATTTGAAAATCCACACCCTAAATGCCGACTAACTGGAAAACCACACCACTAAGAAAAGTACAAGGTCAAGCTTCAATCTCAAATTAGTAAGCATGATCTCGCACAACGATAGTAACCAGTATCTTTATAGGACTAAATCAAACTTAACTTTTGGGAGAAAGAATAACTATATGACTGAATGACCTCAAATCATCTGGTTGACTTTTTATTAAGAGAAGTGAAACCTAACCCGGGCTGAATTTCAATTTTAAAACTAATCTTAGGGTTTCTGGTGAGAATCCTCATGTATACCAAGTGCTTCAATCAATTTAATTATCGCCCCTGAACAAAATACATAATTTATTAATCACTCTGGCGCTAGATATGCCACGAACTGACTCACTAGGATTTTTGTAAATACCATGTACTAAAATTCATTTTGCTTACTTCTGTTGTAGAATGAATAAGATTAACTGACGACATCCATATCAATTTCACGTAACTAGGGTCCCATGTATAAAAATAATTTTGTAACAGTAGTATCTGCACCAGAGAAGCAAATAATACAGTACAATCCTATCAAAGTAAAGTCTTAGGAGTTAACGACTAATCGGATGAAGAAATTTCCATTCATTAACACAATACTTAGCTAGATAAATGACTATGTTGTTATAAAGTGTTAGGAATAAGACTTTATACACGAACATTTAGCCAAACCTTGATTTTGATAAGAGCTATTAAATTGAGTGTTTACTCTTACATTAAACGCATGTGAAATCCTCCTTACCCAAACAGACCGCTGTCTACTGCCCTATAGATCACTAAATGCAAAAAAGAACAATATTAATTACTGACTAGGAAACTATGAAGCATACACTAATTTAATAATACGTAAGTACGCATCTCCTCATAAAATGCAATTGCAATACAAATCAGGTACATGCAGGATACTTAAAATATGTATGGCTTCAATGATAATTTCGGATTCTGGAAACCAGACAAAATTACAATTGCCACGTAAATTTCAGCCGAAAAGTGATTTCTGGGTAAAATAGGAGGTAATATGCACATTGATTCAGGATTATTTGTTGATAACTTTCAGCAATAGGAACAAATAGGTATGTTTCGGAGCAAAAAACAGGGGTATTTCCCTTTATCATCACGGACATTTTTGCTAACTATTCTATGAATATCGTTAGTTTCACTCTACAACCGTACAGACTTTTAAAATAAATAAATTTAGAATTTGTTTTCAGGTGCATTAAACAGATTTATCATTGGATGAAAACACATAAAGACCATGTATTTTAAGAATGAAATGAACGTTCGGTTTACATGTTATATTATATCTCTTAGTGGACGAAATTTTAGTGAACATAAACCAAAAAAACTAAGTTCCACAGGTTTAACGAGAATAAAGCATGTATTTACAATGATTTTAAAAAGTTAAATACATAATAAATGAATAGTGAAACTATAAAAAACCATTGCTCATACGTGGCGTAAGCCACAATTTTAGCCGAAAAGCATCTCTTCCATTTAAATAATAACGAAGAAGCCTTTTATCTCTGTAGAATCCCAGTTGTTCATAAAGTGAAAGGGCTGCTTTGTTGTCAACTTCTGCTTCTAAAACGACCTAAAACAATACAAGTGAAGCATAAAAACATATGGAAGTTTATCATACACATAAAGAATTTAGAAATTCGAAGACAGGCTGTTGAGAACTGATGGGTAGTATTTACGATGAGGTTTATGACTTTAATACAAAAACAAATCACTACCAGATTGATGTGGTGACCAGCATTGCCTACTATGATGGCTCACTTGGTTAATACCGTGATGCTGACTCGGTATAAAGAATTGGGCTAAAGTACATTTGTGGCAGGCTCCAAGCTGATTATAATCAACTGATTTACATCACTGAAAACGTTACAACGAAACAGGCTGGGGAGTTGTTGGAGGAAAATTAGCGATTTTCTTAGTATGAATGATTGAATGACACAGCGCGGGTGGACAAAGTGGAATGAAACAGTAGTGATGTTCCCTATTTTGTAAAGATAGCATGAAAAATCGACTAAAAAAGGTAAACGTTTTATTTGCCCATTTATGTAAAAGCACACACTGGTCTGGGCTGAATAATCCTCTGGAAATCCAGATTCTTATTAGATTCTTTTCTAACAAAACTATATGCCTAAGAATGTACTAATATTGTAGAATCTAATGTAACTTAACAATTAGGGAAGCTGTGTATCCAGCTTTGAATAATAAGTTTCGCAGAAAGGCGAAAAACGCTATTCAGCTGACTAAAGTTAAATTGAGATGACGTCCCGATTGAGTTGGAGATTGAATGCTTCGACTACTAGGGTTATACTGAGTATTGCCTATTTTATGGTTACAGAAGGGAGGACAACGCTGTTCGATTATTCTGAGAACTTATGATTATAATCAAATTTTAATATTGATGAATACGTCGGATGATGAATAATAATAACATGACAGAAAAGAATCGGATGAATGCGAAAACAGTACAACGATACTGTTCATATAAATGTGAAAAGAAAAATGTTGGAAATGTCATCTCACTTCATCACACTTATCTTGAATCATAAGTTCGATTGCAAGTTGAACCAATCGTGATCCTATGTTAGATAAAAATTAATTAAAATAGAACGTGATAAACCAATGCCAATTCTACGGTGATTTTCTTCAACTGCAAGCATAGCTATATATCCTCTTCGAACGTTTTCTAAATTAGCTTCCATTTTACAAACAATTGTGCCCACACAAGTTCCGTCCTCACTAACAGCCTTCACAGTTCGACAATTAATATAAATGCACAAGACAAACCAATAGACACAGTTTGGGCCAGTTGTATATAAAATATCGATAAGTATAAATAGAATAAGGTTCGGAAAGATCGTTAGCAATAAGGTGGATAATGCTGTTTAGATCTGATTCGCCAATATACTGACGAAAAGTGATTCCATTTTGCATATCTTTGAATAGAGGTTCAAGTGGCTGAACTAAAAAGTCTAGAAGCTTGACAAATTATATCATACAGTTCTTTCCACTTTGACATTTTTCCGACAAAACGATTTTGTTAAGTTCGGTAGAAAGTTTAACATCTGACATCTCCAGTTGCCTACATGCTGATTTATAAAAATAAAAAAGATGAAACACACAAATAACATGTATACTAGAGTTGAAGTCATACTTAAGATTTTCACGAGCGATTTGGCTTTATAGCACTATTTCGCTTAATAACAGACAGTTATGTACTGAGGTTGTAACAAAAATGTATTATTTTCCATCTAGAATATATTGTATTACTTGTCTATGGTTGGTAGGATAGTGAAATGTTGTGCAACAATAAGTTATAAGCCTTAGATCTTCGTTTTTTTTTAAAAAAAATCCTCCTTCTGAAACCGTTATTCGGGAACCTAACCTGTCGATATTACTCGGGAACTTATTATACCAGTAAACGACCTGTCAGAAACAATGTTTTCTTAAGAAAGGAATAAAGGCGTTGATATCGAAAAAATAGCTACAAACCCAAGGAAGACACTTCATTGACTGACTATCGCCAGTTGAGGCTGATATATATATATATATATATATATATATATATATATATATATAACAAGCTATCCCCTCACATTATTTGTAAAATCTCCATGATATTGAGATCAATAAGGTAAGGACTTTCTAAACTAAGACGAAATCTACTCCGAGCTTTCGATCTTTTTGTTAAATAGTTATGTAGTTAAAGCATATCGTCTAGTTGAGGAATAATTGTGAACTAACTCTTACGGATATTTTAGCCAGCGGCTGATGTTACGCTTGGTATTTGTTACAGGAAAACACGATTTACTGTCTTAATCTAATTACTAACTGAAAGTCTATAGATAAGGCAACTAGCAACTAGCAACTAGTTATGTGTTAATTAACACATACACCGAGCCTAATTGGCTCATAAGCCAAAGATAATTGCGCTTATGTGGTTGTGACGGCAAATTCAAATATAAGATCCGTTTTTATTAAATGCTGTAATCACAACCCTAAGAAGATCTAGAAGGTGGAGAGAAAACAATGGTGTTTTGAACGCACTGTTACTCCCACAAGGTCACTCAGGACAACGAAATTTAGCGGCTAAAAGTAAAAGAACTCTTGTTTCCAATTGTTCAAATGAATGTAAACGAATTAAAATAGGCCTCCGTATCTAGCAGCAGTGAACCACCAATGACTTCAGGTAGGAACCTATGTAAATTAACAGACGAAAAAGGAATAGTGGTAAATTATGGTCTTCCGTCTTCAATAATAAGGATAGTAGGTTGGTGAACCTGTGTTAATCCTAACAGATTGCCTTACAGTGAAGGTCCAGTTTCTCCTTGAAAATATTCGCTGATGGAGCTGGTACCACTTGTTTGGGCAAGGTGTTTCAATCATTGACTACTCGATGAGAAAAACGGAACCCCACTTTGAGTTTATTAGATCGTGGTTTATGAACCTTCTTGCTATGACCTCGGAGATTATTAGCGCTGGAGGGACCAAAAAGATAAGACATATTAACACCGAAATCATAATTAAAGATACGAAATTATAGTAAAAAGTCACCTCGAGTCCTACGATACGACAAGGTGAAAAGGTTTAGGCGTTTTAAACGCTCATCGTAAGGGAGTTTAGAAAGACCCTTCACTAATTTCGTTCCCACACGCTGGACACGCTCAAGTGAGTTAGTATCCCTTACCAGACATGAGCTAGCTGCTTGGATACAGTACTCTAAATGTGGTCTCACATAGGTGGGATATAAAATTCGAAACATTTCCTCGTCAAAGCATTTGAACGCTCGGCGAAGTGACCATAATGCACGAAAACCTTTGACGGCGGCTGCGTTGCAATGCGTAGTTGTTTTTAGGTCATGACTTATCATTACTCCTAAGTCTTTATGTTCTTGAACGCACAGAAGAGGTTTACCATCAATAGTATAATGGCAACTATTGCCGTGACCGATGTGCATTAGCACACTCTTCCTAGAATTGATTTCTAAACCCCAATCTCGAGCCCATCTAACTAAATCGTCTAAGTCAGCTTGGAGATCCAGATGATCAGCCTCACTTCTTATTGTTCTCCAGATTTTGACATCATCCGCAAATAATAATGTCGGCGACCTAAGCAACGGCGGGAACTCATTTACGTAGAGAAGGAAGAGCAGAGGGCCTAAGATGGTGCCTTGGGGTACACCACTTTTGACCGGCTTCCAATCAGATAGCGTCCCATTGACCCTCACTCTCTGTCTGCGGTCACATAAGAACTTTCTTATCCACTCCTGTAGAGTATCTATTATTCCGAAGCTCGTGAGCTTCTGCATGAGACCTAAGTGTGAAACCTTGTCAAATGCTTTGCTAAAATCTATGAGTATCACATCTACAGACAGACCTTTATCTAAGGCTGCTGTCCAGTCATCTCTCTCAATAAGTAAGTTAGTCAAGCATGAACGCTTGTCACGAAATCCACGTTGCTCAGGAGCTAACAGATTGTGTGAATCTATGTGGCTTAGCAACCTAGCCCGAATTATCTTTTCAAGTAACGTAACGACAATGCTAGTTAGACTGACAGGCCGGTAGTTAGATACGATCTGTCTCAGACCATCCTCAAAAATTTAGGACTGACAATCCCTAGGGAGTCGAGTAAGTGAAAGAGATATGTTGAAGTGTCGCGAGCGGTTTTGAAATAACGTCCGCAAGAGATGACAGCAGCCGTGGATGTAACCCGTCAGGATCCGGTATCTTACAAGGTTTGAGGTTAGTTATCAACGGAAGGACAGTTTCCTCAGTCACCTGAACAGATTCAATGGCTGGTATCTCGGTGTGGTTGGGACAAGTATTTGTTACAATAAACGTAGAGTAGACTTCGCTAAAATAGTTTGAAAAAGTCTCAGGTTTGGCCCGATTTGATTCAGCTAGTAAATCTGAATTATCGTGTAACAATAACGGGGGAATACCATCACTACGTTTCATTCGCCGTTTAACATACAAAAAGTCGTTTCGGACAAGTACGGCTATCATATACCGACTGTCGTTCGTAAGTAGTACGGGATTTAGCTATGGATTTCTCACAAATATTCCGCAGCTTTTGGTACTCACGCTTAAATGATGCATGACCTGTCAACAAGAATAAGTCCCAGTGTTTCCTACGCTTTAACAGCTTCCAGGTTTCCTTATTAATCCATGGAGGGAAATGCGATAGCTTACGTGCTGACCATGGGATAAACGGCGACGTTGCGGACTCGAATGTCTCCTTAAACTTATTCCATTCGTCTTCGATCGATCCATCTGCGTCAACCGACCAATCAGTAGAGATAGCACAGTCTCTGATTGCCGGGATTTTAGCCCGCCAGATATTGGGACGGGGTGGAGCAGATACAGATCGTATACCATGTGTCCTAAACTCAAAGCGAAGTACAACATTATCACTGCTCACTAGTAGAAGAAGGTGCTGAATATCAAAGTTATCCGCACAGTGGTGGGTGAGAGCGAGGTCCAGCAGTGTCGGATCATGTTTCAAACCAATGTGTCGGTTTAGTGATACATTGGACAAGTGCACACGGAATAACGGTTGATAAAAAATCGCTATCAAAACATCCACTTGGAGCTGTAAGCTCTATCCAGTTTATGTGCAGTGTGTTGAAGTCCCCATTGATGAGACAAAATTCTGCCATACTCCAAGAACAGATGTGTCTTAGGATAAAGTCGTCAGCAAGACAACACGGATTACGGTATATTCCCCCTATAGTAACTAACCCTTTTCTAGATTGAATCTTACAACATGCTACCTCACATGTGCCACTAACATGAACCTCCGATATGATTGATTGTATAAGAGAGTGATCCCTAATGTATAACATTATGCCTCTCCCCTTGCGACTTAAAACTCTATCACTTCTAATACAGATATAGCCTGCAATGATGGGAGAACATTCTATACCTACGGTGAACCAAGTTTCTGTAACGACAATTATATTGGGGCTTAATTCATCCACCATCAGACTTAGCTCGAACGTTTTATTCCTAAGACTACGGGCGTTCGTGTAGTACACACTTAAGGTGTTTTGGTGATCATTCTTTCTACCCATACAGGCCTCTGAATCATTGGCTTCCAAGACCTGACTACCCGAAAACCCTCAATGATAAGTTTAGTTTCACCATTTAACTTGCGAGTTCTCAACTCCGTAAGAGCATTTTTCCACTTGATTCTATCCTCAAGCGGCCAATCTGGTCGGATACGAATATTTGAATCACGAAGTTTTTGTGCGTTTTTCAATAACATATCTCTCTCTTCAAAACTCCTGAGAACCAGCTTGGTTGGGTCTCTCCTCCAACCCATTTACCGAGTCGTATCACCTTCGTGTTATGTACCCCTGAAACCTCTTCAGATAGTACGTTTCCTACAACAGATTCCACTAACTTCAGATCATGTGCATATCTCTTAGCAGGGTCATTGTCTATTGACTCCTCTAGATTCCAAATAATTAAATAAGGGAGTGGTTTAGCTTCTTTTGGAATCGTGCTTACAGTTATCGATCGTAACCTTAGATCCTGTCTATTAACTACTGGTATCTTACGATTAGTTTTTAATGTAAAAGAGTCATTGGAGTCGAGCTAGTGACTCATAAAAATGCTTGAAGAGGCTTTACTTTGGGACATTGGCGGAGTGGTCTGGGAGTCTACCAAGAACTTATCAAGTAAACGGTTATTTGTTTTAGCTGTCTTTCATACTCTTCTGCGTTCCCGCGTCATCCATATTTCATCAGTCGTAGCATCTACATTAGAACTACTCGGGACAGTAATTGTTTTATTTGAATCACCAGTTGCTGCTGTAGCAGCATGGCCACCAATATCTAACGAGGTGTCACTCATTGATTGTTTCAGGTCGCACAGTTAGATGTCTGACTTGCGCCGTGACAGTGTAAGATCCATTTTGAATGATTTGTGTGTGTGTAAATCCCTCCATGTATATACTTGCAGTTTATTCATATTGATACCTTTGGTTGTACATTTTTATTAGTCTTTTTCATTCCATTTGATTTAATAGCATTTGTATTTTATTATAGTTTTTATTTTTCTTACGCTTTCACTAAGTTTCCGTGTTTCTTTCTGAACTGCATTTATGTTGTTTGACTTGATACCTATTCTTGGCGGCAGCTATATTGGGTTGTTCCTCCCTTTGATTGTGTTGCGTGCATTGACTGGAATTGTGCATTTTTGATTGTGAGTTGAAGCACTCTTCCAGAATTGAAAACACTTGGTGTTATAAAGCAACCAAACATTATCTTTTGAACGAATCTGTGTGTGATCTATCCAGACAGGATAGAATAACATTTATTTGTTGCGATTGGTAATTTTCTAGCATCCTTTTTTCAACTTTCTTATTTAATGTAATTTAGATTTGATTAATTGAACTATTGTTGGTTGGATAGCTGGGTGGTTATATTTGTTTAGGTAACGATGTACATTTAAATTTATGATGAATTATAGAACCGTCATTTCACCCGATTACTTTGTTTTGGTTTCAAACGGGCAAGGGCGCGTATCTAACCCACCAAGACAGCTATTCTTCAGTCCAAACCTTAGTTTGGATCTTACAGTTCTAAACAAATATCGGTTGGTCGAAGTTGTTTGGCTATCGCTTCGCGGATTTTAATTGCTGTTTCTGGAAATATTTGGTCGTTTCTCTCGTGATGCCGAACACTCGTCAAAGAAAGTCAAGTTCAAAGCTCGGTGTTAATGGAGCTAAACTAAATGATGGATCCCCTCTTACAAAGCAAGTACCTTTTGATGTCCTTAAGTGTCATGGTTCAGACTCAAGTAGGGTTGATTATCATGATAGGGAGTCTAGTTGTGATTTTGTGGCAGATGACGTGGAAAATCCCAGTTCAGATGTAAAGCAAATGAAGAGCGTCATGCCTGTGACACCTTTCGTAGGTCTAGAGTTACCAAAGGTTGAATTAAGTTATTTCGATGGACAGCCAAGAGAGTACTGGAAGTTTATAAGGCAGTTTGAAACCTACGTAGCGTCAAGAGTCATTGATGATAGCCAACGTTTGCTCTACTTGATACACTATTGTAAGGGTAAAGCAAAATCTGCTATCGAGGGTTGTGTCATGAT